GTGAATTATATCAAATGAATTTAGTAAGGTAAATAAATAAATAAATTCTATCAGTAACAAATTAAATTACTCTATTTTTTTTTCAACTATTGATAGGGAAAAAAACTTTCCAGCTACATCTGGTGCCCGTTTAGGATTACCGATATTGGCAGCTGTACAGGCTAGGATCGTGCCAGGTTGGTCTACAATACCAACTACGATGGAATATGGATTGGGTAATGTTTCTGGTGTATCAAGAGTTGCCTTTACAGTAAATTGAGTTTTAGCTTTAATTGGACAAGCATTTCCAGTACAAATTGGTATATAATAGACTTCGCCTATGTCTGCCTTAGTTGTAGTATCAGTATAAAAAGCAATAAGTTGAGTTTGATCTGTTATATCTGATTCTACAGTTCCGGTAACAGTAAAAGTATTGGGTTTTCCGGGAATGACAGGATCAGGATCAATTACTACGGAGATTGTGGCTGGTGATGGTGACCCGGTATCAGAGTGGCATACCCTAAAGATAGGAGCTCTCTTTTGAGGAAGTTGATGCGGAATTGCATTGACCATTGAAAGCGTAGCCAATAAAATGAATACCAAAATAAATTTGCTGTACATGATTGTTATTTCTTTGCAAAAAGTATTATATTTGTAAGTATTCTTTATGAAAGTGTTTAATTACTTAAATTAAGAGTAAATTGAAATCAAAGCCTTTTTATAAAGAAAAAAAAAATGGTTTATTCCACAATTCTAACAATTTTTTTAATCTTTTCACAAAAATTGATTCTAAAATTATGGATAATCATTTTAAATTCTGTATGAACCAGGGCGGTTGTGATTTTCGTTATTCAAAAATGATCAACTCTCGTAATATTTTGAATATCAAACGGAAAAAAAATTAATCAGAAATATTATACTACAGAAGAAAATAAACCGTAAATAGTAATAATTAATACAAAGGTTCATAAAGATGTGGCATTTTCATCAAAGTAAAAAAAATTAAAACGAAAAATTGGGTATGAATTATCAAATATATGGTTGATAGCTAGGAAAATCAGGTTCAGGGAACTTTTTAACCAAATTGAGATTAAAATGCATTAAGCTCTTAATTTTAGTTAAAAATTTTTTCAGTACCTGATTTTTCTAGAAAATCTTCCCACATCAATTCTATATCGAATTCAGTGGGCACCAAAAATACGTTACGTTTCATCTTATTTAGGTGAAT